CTGTGGCGAATGAATTGGCCAATCCTCCTCCCTGTAGTCAGCCCATACAGGTTATCTCAAGGAGCCGTCCATGGTTAAAATAGTAGCATCAGTCCGTAGCAGTACGCTTCCCCTCTAAGATTGACTACAAGATGAAGCTGCTCTCAGAAGGCTTTGTGCAAAGGGTGCGCATCCACAATCTGGACGCTATTGGCATGCAAAGGGAATGGAGAGCGAAGGGGAAGGAGGTGGGGAGAAGGAGCGAGAATTGTGACAGACACCAAGACCCACAGGCGTGAAGTCACCTACGTGAGTTGTGGACTCTACTGGCATGACGGAGGAGGGAAATTCGTTTTCCGCATTTGCATTTGCGCCAAGAACTGCTCGACTCGGATGCAACCTTTGCGGTGGCTGTTATCTTCGATGCCCATGCATTCACAGTCTTCTACTTATGGAGCACATATCCTCCCTGGCGCATTCGCTAAGCACAAACTACTAATGCGATGCGATGGACAATGGTTGGCAAGGCTCGAAGGCTACCTCTGAGCAAGTGATTTTTGTAAGTTGGATGCAACAGACCTCATGCTTAGACGATGATGACAGAGCTTCTTGAGTCAGTCACGCACACTCTCAAGTCTATCCATGTGATGATACTTCAAAGGAATGAAGTTGGCAAACCATCAGCTGAAGTGTTTATGAGGCTCGTTGTAGGTAGCTGGTTGATTGCCCTCTGCGTCCCCTGTCGGCGTAGGTGTTGACGCCTCTTCCAAACTGCTGATGGGTGTATCCTACCTACACGCACAAAGGGACGAGTAGTGAATCCTTCCTTCATGTGTGCGGGAAGGACTACAGACTGCAAAGCCTACGGGTGGAGCAGGTGGTCTTCATGGCATTCGAGATGCGTTGACCACATCGAGTTCATTGGCGACAGAAGGTAGTCAGCTGTGCTGTGATGCATGACATAGTGGAGGCGGGCAATAGTGGAGTTCATGTTACAAACTGGGCAAATGATGCCAGCGACGTTGACACGAGGAACCACTTCACGACTGCTTCGCATGAGCCACAACTGCACAGTGGGTGCGCATTGAGAAAAAAACTCCTCGTAATGCTGGTGGAGACGGCCACCAAACAGAACCACTCCACCACGGAGGCGTTTACCTTCCACGCATGCTGCCATCGACTGTCGGATAAAGCACTCGTGGTGGCACAAATAATGCAGAAGAATGGGAAGACGCGCTATTTACAGTAGAAGGGATAGCACTTGAATTCATCAT